TCGTCCCTATCTCTCTTCCTTCTTTTTTTGGTGCTTTTTACTCTTTTGTAACACCTCTTATCTTCGGCACTTAGTGTGACCTAATTGTGTTACAAGTACCGTAAAACTTACTTTAAAAAGAACGAGTGTGAGCCAACTATTAATGAGTGCTACCAGATGTCTGCTGTTCTTGCTGACTTTGTATGTGGCATGTTGTTTGCTAGGTTAAGCAACAGGTGAAAGACAGATGTTCGAATCCCAGTGGGATCCGAAAACGTGTTTGCACTTCCTGAAATATGTTTCCTCTCGAAAGGAATCTACTTTGTGTTGTATTTGTTCTTGAATTTCCCCCCCCCCCTTTTTTCCCCCCGAAAAAAGTAGAAAAGATATAGGCCTACCAACTCCCGGTACCAAAACAAAATAGGTCGGTGGTTGGAGGGCGCCACTGGTCTGTCTGTCTGTCTGTCTGTCTGTCTGTCTGTCTGTCTGTCTGTCTGTCTGTCTGTCTGTCTGTCTGTCTGTCTGTCTGCCTGCCTGCCTGCCTGTCTGCCTGTCTGGCTGGCTGGCTGGCTGGCTGGCTGGCTGGCTGTAGTACAATTAATGGTGTGGAGCAAAACTTGTAAAAAAAACTTTGACATGCAAAATGTGTCTGAGAAGCGGGAAATGCTGTTAACACTTCCATTTTGAGCGCGTCGGAGATTTGTAGTATGTTTTTGTATGTATAATATGAATTTATGAAGAAAGGGTTTTCTTTTTAGCATAGCTTCAAATGTTGTGGAAAAAATATGATTAAGTTGAGACAAATTATTGCTGCCACCCGTTGTGCAAGGTATGGGTGACGCTGATTTGAGGATACGTTGTGCCACGAATCTGTGAACACATTAACTCTATATATAAGTCATTAAACATTCAACACCCCACTGCCCCTTTTTTATCGGAAGTTAGATAATGTATAACGTGGTTGTCCGACCTTCTTATTTGACGCATTGTGTGCACTCCTTTTCGTGTGTGTGACTTAGAGCTGGGCAAAGAATCGATTCCGGAACCGATTTCCCAAGATTAATACTACGGAAGAAAAGTTCCGAATTCATTTTACGAAAACCAACGGTTGCCAGTAATTTTAATAATTTAAGTCCTCTTTTTTTCTAATTTATTTTTAAAAACAACTATAAACAAACAAGTTGATGCTTCGTAGTGTTCCGAAATTAAGGTTATCCTATATCCTGAAAATATTCGGAGCCAATGAGGTAACCCCTGAAACAAGTCATATCATTAGAAAGTAAATAATTGGGTTCGGAGTCGATTCCTACGATTCCTAGCCTTCAACAATCGGGAACCTCGCCGCCCAGCACTAGTGTGTATGTGTGTGTGTGTGTGTGTGTGTGTGTGTGTGTGTGTGTGTGTGTGTGTGTGTGTGTGTGTGTGTGTGTGTTTAATGTAGGTGTTTTACACCCCAATCGACACAGTTTAGGAGGCGGGCTTTGATCCTTCCTGTCAGAGTCTACTGGGGCTGAGAGTGCTATAAAATCTCAAGAGAAAGTCTGAGATACTCGATAAAAATTCCCCTCTTGGGAGTCGAATTCGTGTCCCTTGCATGTGATGGCGAAGCACCTAACTGCTACACCACTAACACCGGAATTCCATGGCCACAGGAGCATTGAAAGGTTGCACAAAAGGCCCGTAGGTGTATTATGCGTCCGCTGATTTGACTTTTATTTCTTCTTTGGCGTCCGTCCAAATTGAGTACGGCTGGGTAGAAAATCGATTTATTAATGGTACGTTAGTGAACGGTCGGCCCCCCGGCAATCAGAAGCTATGCATGTGGGAGCTTAAAGTCAAGGCCCAATGCCTTAGTCGGCACTCTTGTTTACCTTCTGCCTCTCCTACCATAACAATATCTTCTACAACGGGCTTGCCAGCTGCCCCGAATTCTCCTGGATTGTCCAGGGTTTTCCGGGATTGTCCAGGATTTTCCGGGACGGTCCTGAAATTTCTGGGACTGTCCCGGCTTGGGCAAGCGGAGAATTTGAGAGGGCATTGCTTACACTGCACCTAATCCAAATCCCATATGGTGTAATTTTGTTATTTTATTTAGCAATCTGATGTCATAATGCTGCGTGTCCTTGACTTGGTTTTTAACAAGTTGGCGGGTGGTTAGAGGACGTCCCTGGCTGGTCGTGCTTCTTTGCTTTCCCTCTGTTATTTTTTTCTGTCTGTCTTACTTTTTTCTCAACACTAAATGACCGTGGATGGTTGGCGGGTGCTCTGGTGTGGCTTGCTTTCCTATCGAACATCTATCGTCCTTATCTCCCCTCATTCTTTTTTATGTTTGTTACTCTCTTGTAACACCTCTAGTCTTCGGCGCTCACATATGACCTTATGCAGTAGCAAGCGCCGTAAAACCTCTACTAAAACAAACTAAATGACCATTATTGTATCCTTGTGCTTCGCTTTGCTCAAACTAATTGAACAAGTTCGCTAGTCCGTTTTTGTTCTGTTAAAAGTAAGTTTTTGGTCTGTT